AGGAAAAGTGGAAAGACTAAGGGAGTTGTTGACAAGGTTTATACAAAAAAACTAATAAAAATAAAAACAATTCATTTTATATAATTATTTTAGTACTGTGTAATAATTAAACTTGTATATTTGTAATGTGATGCAGAAGTACAGAAGCCCAGATGGCAAAAAATTTCGATCTCGGAAGACGGCAATAGCTTACTACAAGAACACTAATGGGAAAGATGATTAGGTGTACGCTCATTTATATATCTATAATTCTATATATACATATTAATTTATAATTGTATAGTTATCCTTATTTTATAGTACTCGGCATAAGATGATTAAAATCTTTTTTTTATTAAGTATAACACACGACATGCTAATCAACTAATTAGATAGTGTATTAATATCATGTGAAATTTTATTTGCCTATGTAGTATATATATGTCTATACGTACATTTATTAAAGATCAAAAATTGATGCACGCGCGTAGTTGTTACGTGATAAAGAAGTGATAAAAAAAAAACCTAATCGCATATATATAATTATACTAATTTATATGTTTATACATATGGACTTTAATTTACAGGGAGAAGGAGGCTCATCAAATGGAGCCCAAGCGGCGATTTGAAGACGACGTGTCGTTAATCATTTACAATGGTGGTTCATGTGGAGTTAATGGAGGTAGAGCTAGAAGCATATGGCTAATACAATAATGAAGAATGTTATTTATGTTTATTAGTATGAAGAGTTCTCAATTTCTTTCATGGTCTCATTTGAATCTAATGTAAATGGTGGTGAAAACAATTTTTGTTTATTGTTGTATTATTCCTACCATTTCATGAGATTTTTAGTAGATGACTTTGTTATTGCTTGTTTATTTATCGTTGTAATAGTTTGTAATGTTATTTTGAAACATCTTATCTTTATTCTAGCAATACCAGTTATTTGAATCTTTCATTTCTTCTTATAGTCTCCAATATTATGCATGTCACTTACATTACTATTGGTGAATGAATATATAAGTATATAATTTTTTAATCAAGATTGATTAATATTCAATTAGAATTTTATTATATTGAAACATATAATTTAGGGAAACATGAAATTTTAGCTAGGAACCCTTTGATAAAGATGTCAAACTACTTCAAACAAGTTTTTTTTTTTCATTTAAAAATTTAACTCACAAATACCTTTATAACGGTAATATTTGTGCATGTCATATAGTATGGTATATTAATTTTATGGATATGATTGTATTTATTCAAATATCTATTTAATTTAATCAATAATTCGGCCAATGAAAATATTTAAATTTTCATATGATCATGACATAAGTTCTTACTATTTGATTGAAAGAGGATTACATTTGTCATTTTAGCCCTTCTTCATTAATGGTTATGGTCTTACGGAGTAAATTTCAATTATTTCCCAATTAGATATTGTGTTTTCTTTACATATTTCCTCCTACATACATATTTTCTTATAACTATCCCCATTTACTGAAATAGTTGCATTAGCCGATTCACCCTTCAGACTAATCCGGATTCGGGGATCAGTTCTGATGGTTGGGGGTTCCAGTCCCCTCCCAATTGTTGTTGCGGGGGATTTCACACCGGTCTTTTCTACCAAGTAGGAGTCTCAATCACCAATGCTCCAACAACTAATTGGGTATACATATATATATATATATATATATATATATATATATATATATATATATATATATATATAGTTGTATTAGAGAACAAACATCTAAAATAACATCAACACTAGTTTAAGAACATCAATCTTCTACTCTAATTCTCTCGATCTTCATCTCTGAAATTCTATCTCCTTCTCCTGAATCCTAAGAAATGTCTAGAAATTTCTTCATCGGCGGCAATTGGAAATGTATAAGTTTTTCTCTTTTTGTTTTTCACAAAATTAATCATCAATTCCGTTTAATTTCCACTACTAAATATAATCACTATCTTTTAGCAATTCTTCTTCATATATTGCTTGATATTATTCTTGGGTTAGTTGCGTACTTTGATAGGCCATAGTCGAGCCTACCAAAGATAAAATCCTATCTTGGTTTCACTAGCTAATAGCAAGGGTAAGAAATGCTAGAACCCAAGAGAGGCGTTGGATCAACCACCAAGATACTACCGTTTAAATTGTTGGGGTTTGGTGAGTCCGAATCATCGTGGAAACAAACCCAAATACAAGACCGCACTCGCAATAAACATAATTAATCGCAAGATTAAGATAAAACGATAACCTTTGGAGCGTGCTTCGCCCAACCGGAAGGGGCTCTTACTTCGAAAGCAAGCTTCGAAATTACGACGGCCTCCAACGATAGTCCACCCACAACTCGACCACCGAAAACGGTCCAATGCCTTGGGGTTAGCAAATCCCGACAAAAACCTGAGTAATTAATGAGTTCAAAGGTTTTCACAATGGTGATGCCTTTTTCAACTCTTACTCAAGTGCTTTTCCCAATACCCTAACTTGGGTATTTATAGGGAAATGCATGAGTGTGAAAAGCTCTCCCATCAATGTGGGAGAATTTGATTTTCCCATTTTATTTTAAAGCTAAAATAAAATTAATAATCAAACTAGTAATAAATCAACAAGTGGCAAACTTATGTGAGAGGTTAGGTGAGGACCATTTGGAGGAGGGGGGACCAAACTTGCTCCCCACTCTCTCCCTCACCTTGCGGCACTAGGCAACTCCCACTTGGGCACCAAGGCACCCAAGTAGGCTTCCCATTTGTTGTTGCCCTTCTCTCGACCCAGCCATCCCCGCAACACAAAATGTGGGCTGCTGCTCGCACTCTCTCGACCGGCTCCCCATGCACTTGTGTGCGGGCTGCTGCTGCTGAGAGCTGCTGCTAGCATGCCGCGCACCTAGTGCGGGCTGCTAGCTGGAGCATGCTAGCACGCCATGCACTAGGTGTGGGCAGCTAGCCGCAGCTTCCTAGCAAGCCCTGCACTTGGTGCGGGCTGCTAGCTCGGCTATACCCCCTAGCACTCGTTTTTGCGATACTAGGGGTATTTTGGTCTTTGTTGATTTATTATTAATTTCACATCTCGTCTTTTACTATTTTTGGACTCGACTTAAGACGTTCGGTTTCGACGCACTAAGCTCGAATTCCTGACGTCTAAATAATAATTACTCGATCGACTTATTAATTAATTCGTCGCTTCAGTTCGTTAGTTGCTTGGGTGTGACCCGAAGTGTTTAGTCAAGATTAAGCTGTAATATTAATTGTGCATTAATATTACTGATCGGAGGCGGCCTCCACCCAAGCATTCCGATCACTTGACCTTACTGAAAATATTATCTTTCTAAATATTCTGAACCCACTAACAGAATAGCTAGTACACTTGTTCGAAGGACATCATTCCTTTCAATCTCCCACTTTTCCTTCCGGACAAGTGCGCATTTAGAGTACAACCTTTTTCCTATGTCGCTTAATGTCTCTTCATGAACAATAGTGTAAGATTATTCGTCATCCCTATTATGTCCAGAAGTGTTTCTTGAAATACGAGTTTGAATGTCAATAAGCAGATGATTTCTAAAATCCATCTGAGCACGGCCATGCATTTTTACAGTCTCGCTCTTCGAGAGGCCTTGTAAACAACAAGACATGTTCCCTATTGTTAGTAGGGGGACATTCCCAGTCTTGTACTGTAGCTTCTCTTACTAAGAGTACCTAGCCGCCTGATAGCCATTGGTATATTCCCTAATTACGGAAGACGTTTGACCGACATAAAAAACGGACTAGTACTCAAACAAGAGACCTCACAGTACTCATGGTCAAGAAAAAGAGTTCCGATAGAAATAATGAGAAATATACTTATGACGATTTCAAATCTCTTAAAGTATTCTCATAGGTCAATCCAGTATGGTTCTAAACCAAAACCTGTGCAAATGATTTATATCTTCATAGCACAAGAAACGGTGCTATAAATCATGCTACACACTAATCTCCATTGTTCATTAATCGTCCACAATATAAATGACCTTGATTAGGGATAATATTCGATTAAAATATTCAATGTTCACTTAATAGGTGTTTCTTTATCCAAGACATTGTCTTGATACCCTATTTTTGAATATTCTTTAAAATCGAATGGACTCATTATTTAATTCTAAACCACAATTAAATAGTTTTGTGGAATATTTAGAAAAATTTTATTCCACTATGAAACTTCACAATGTTTCATCTTATAATAATTGGTTTTCCCAAATGTTTTAAGAGTAGTACTCTTCATAAAACATTTATAGAAATCACACCCATATCTAATATGCTTGATTTCTTTTACGCAATTTTTGAATGTTGTCGTTCACTTATTGCATAGGTTTAGTTATAATTACTTGTCAGATGTTAGCATCTTCATTATCGCCCATCTCCATAATAAGTTGATAAAATTTTGAGAGTGTTAATGAATTACATGTGATTTAGGATTTATTGTCCAAGCAATGGCTCCCACTCATTTTCATGATTTGCGACCTTTAGCTTGACAACCTACAATCATCAACATTCAACAACGAACTTTCCATTTAACATCTTCTTTATTGTTGCCTTTTAAGGCACACTACTACAAAACCCGCTCAAAGTCATCGCTTATTTTCTTGATTCTCGACGGCAAAAAGCGTCGAAAAATTAATTCCCGACGCTTTGGTAAAGCGTCGAGATTTTGGCCGTCTACAATTCTCGACGCTTTAATGCGTCAATAACGTCGAGACTTTTTGCTGTCTAAATATTTCTTTGATGCTTTAAAGCGTCGAGATCATCGACGCTTTTAACTGCCGAAGCATTTGGTTGTCGACGCAATTTAGTGTAGGCTATTTTATTTTCGCGGCTCATAGCAAGTTTTGGCGGGATATTAGGTCGATGTTAAAAAGCGTCGAGATTTTAAGTTTTCCACTATTCCTAAATCTCAAATTTTATATTAGGACAATGAATTGTTTCAATAAGTTACGACATATATGTATAAATACCAATCTGAATTTGCAATTTGAAACTAATAATACACATATTAAGAGGCTTGGTAATATAATAATAATAGTACGTCCAAAATATAGTCTAACATAGTACATCACCGTACCATAAAGGTTATCTAATAATATGTTTTAACTACTTCATAATTATTGTTAGCTAATATCAAAATCCAAAAGACAACATCAAAGCTAAAATATACGATCTTCAACTTGAATCTTGATAGTCATCTCCAAAACCATTCAAATCTAGCCAATTAATTTAATTAAAAGTTTCTTAATCTGAGTCGATGATTAAACGAGCTAAGCATCCCTTGATTCATATCTTCCGCCTCCATAGTCTACAGAGTCATCAGACACCTGAAATTGATATTTAAAAAAATGTAAGTAATCTTCTATACATATAACAAACATACCTCCCACAAACTAATTAATACATATAAAATAACAGTGCAAATTATTTAGAAAGAAAAAAAAATTAAAGGGGCTAATGGCCAATGTTGCTGCACGATCTGAATCTTTAAGATCATGAAGACGATCAATCTACTGCAGATTGAATCACATTAGATAATTTTCTATTCTACATTGTCTAGGTTAGTGATCATTTTTTGCAAACATTGTATAGTTATGAATCACATATTACTTGAAATAAATTCCTAGAACCAGCTATTAGGATATATTAGACCTGCTTATTTTTGTTTTGCAAAAATAATTAAGGCAGTACCCCAGGTCTGCAGCAAACAGTCACTCTCAAAACAACCGCTCTTAAATTATTTACAAAACAATAGCTCTCAATGATTACCTCTCGCACCCTCAGGTCTGCAGCAAGCCGAAGCCCACACATCACAACTTTTGCTTTTGCTTCTGCCACCCTTACCTCCCAATTAGCACAACTCTTCATCACCCCTGCTGCCTTGACAACCCCTTCCTCGTCCCACACAACAGCACCCAAAGTACAACATAATTCCCCAACAAAGCCCTCATTTACAATCACTTACATAGCTCCTACAAGCGGTGGCAGCCATCTAGCAGTAGAACCCAACCCTAGTGAAGCATAAGCTTTCTAGACACAAACCGGGATAATAACAAGAGTCATGTGACCAACTGTTCTCAACTTCTAGTTTCTTGTTTTCTTTTCAATGCATTTATACCAAACTATTTTCAAATCTCAATGTTTAGAATTAACCAACTATAATGTAGTGATATGATTATCATATTTATCTTCTAATTAGGAAGCCCCAAATCACATTTATGAGCTCTCGTCTACTCCACCCCCTGCTCCCTGATGATCTAACCTGATGATCTGCATTAAAGAAAAGCATTGATTACCACACCTATTCCACCTCCTACTCACTGTCCCAACCATATACTACTACTCCCTACTTTATTTTATTAAGTATTTAACCAATTGAAATAAGTACAACACCAACAACAAGAAAATGATAGTGAATTTGTAGCTACGAATTCACCACACCAAAGTTAAAAAATAAACTTTGATAGCTAAAGTCGTATGAACAAGGAAGGGAGGAATGAATTCACTATATTACCCGAGGGTTAGCCATACGTAAGGCTAGTTGTGCAGCATCCAAAAGTTGTGACGAACCTTCTCCACTACGAAACGATTCTAAAACCTGTGAAAATAGTGTTGTCATTGTATTCAGTAGCTTTGCATTCTCATCACACTTTTCTTTTATCTCTTCATTTTTCTTATGAAGTTCCTTATTTTCTTCCTTCAAACTTAACACCTCCACTATCATGTTGTCCATTTCTACCACTCTTGTTCTTTTCCCAATCCCTTCTTTTCTAAGTACACCACGCACACCATGAATGTCTCCTTTTCGAACTCCAAATCCATAGCCTAGTGGTTTTTCTGGAATTTGACCAGCATACAGTGTAGCCTCAAAAGCCTCATTCTCTATGTCTATACGCGACTTAGAACCAGAAGGATCTGCTAGCTTTAAGCTTTCAGCCTTAGCCTTAACATCTTTCTACAAAACAAATTCAAAAAATACATGATGTTAGTAAAATGAACTGAAAATAGAAGCTAAACAAACAGGAAGAACTAATACCATACCAGAAGCTCTTCTGTATATGTGCCTTAAAAAAAAGTCCCATCCTTCCTTCTATAACATTTTTGCCAAAGTTCATATAGGCTCATTTCTTCTCCGTGCTCATCTTCCTATTAGTTATAATGCATAGAGAAATATAATTACATATGATATATATTTTTGCTGAAAGCTCCAACCACAATTTATGCATCAATATACATTATCTTGGCAATCAAAGGGTAAAATAAATCATACATAATAAGCAGGTCTATTTGCAAAACTTGTACCACCAGAATTATGAATTTGGTTCAAAGATGCTCGTGCTTCTTTTCCGATCTCAGACAATTCCTACAATGATTGATGAAACCTTTAATATTTAAGATAGAAAATATATGAACCAGAAAATATGATTTATTTACGATTGCTCTATTGTTTGATACTTACTTTCCCTTTCTCGGAATTCCAGTACTTGACCAAATTAACCCAATTATTCTTGCTTACTCCATTTGGGGATTATCACAAATTTCTCTTATTGATTTTTCAGCTGGTTTGAAGTATCGTTTCTTAAGATCATGTTTTAACCCCTCCAAACTTTATCAACACGCTGTAGAGCTTGGGTGTAATACTTCTCCTCATTGGGGATCACAAAGAGATCCTTTACAAAAATATATAATTTCATAAATAACTATTAATATGAACAAAACTTTTAGTAAAGATGGAAGGTATACATACCCTTATTAATTTACTGATGTATGCCTTAAAAGACTGGTCTAACTCATGCCAAGTCTTTTCTAAAAGTGGGCAATAACGCTCCTCCTTTGCAATGCTACGAAGGAATTGGACCAATATATGCCCACCTTTCCGAATCGGTTGACATAACTCATTAAAGTTCACAACATATTTAACTCCATTATTGTTATTCCAGACCTCAATTAGCGGAACGTGACCACTAACTAACTGCTTCTTACCATCAGCATCTATGGAAAAAGAAAATCAATCACTTAAACATATTATAGACAACAAAAGAACATTAATTATCTTATTTAAAAATCTGAATACACTATAATTTTACTTAAATTTCAAACCAGGTTTAAACTTAATAGATTTCAGACTAGTTTTAACTTCATAGAATCACTAACCTCAATGATTTAATGGTTAGATATGATCTAAAAAACAGAAGCATTGTGTTGTTAAATAATATCTAAGGCTACTGTCATTTTGCTGTCCTTATCTTATTTGTATTTTACTAATTTATTTCGTGATCAGCACACAAACATATCAATATAAATAAATAAATATACCAATGGTTAGAACCTCCTCCTTGTCATCATAATCAATTGTACTAAGCCATTCAGGAAGCAATGCGCGACGTCGAAGCTTGAATATTTTGGATTTTTCCTTTGTTGTTTCATCACATGCATGCTTTTGTTTATCCTTATTTTCTATGGGTGAATATTCTGTAGGAGCACCTTGCATTTCTTCTTCCCATGGTTGATGAGAAGTATGGGAGGTGGAAGGGAATTTAGGTGGTTTTGATAGCTTCGAAGGTGGAAATTTAGGGGGAATATTAGAGGTGTTTTGTGTAGAAGATGAAGGAAATCCATGAGTGTTAGTTATGCTTGGATGGAAAGTTGCATTAAGTGCCTTATCCAATATAGGATTGTTTTTTTGAGGTGGAGGATGTGCACTTGTGTTGGTAGTAGAAGATGAAAGGAGGCCTTGTGTGTTAGTGATGCTAGGAGAATTTGGTACATCATGTTGCTTCTTCCGATTATGATTGCTTTTTTGGGGCAGAGGTTGTGTAGTAGTATAAGATGAAGGGAGGTCTTGAGTGTTAGTAATGCTTGGTGGAGTTGGTACATTGATTGGTTTCTTCCATATAGGATTCCTTTTTTGGGGTGGAGGTTGTGTACTTGTGTTAGTAGTAGAAGATGAAGGGAGGTCTTGGGTGTTGATGATGTTTGGAGGGTTAAATGGTCCCCATCTACCATTAGCTTCCTATGAATTTTGGACTAAGGCTTAAGGCATTGTAGGTTTAGCATGATTTTTTAGTGGTTGTGATGATTGTGATGACTCCAATTTTGGAGCCTTATTTAGTACAGCATCAGATGCAGTTGCTGCCCTTGTTCGTTTGCTACGATAACTCATGTTGATGAACCTGAAAGGGGAAAAAAGGAACACAGCAATTGTAAGAGTCTCAATTGTAAAAAAGCTAAACAATTCATCTCTCATCAGACACATAAAGTTCAACAAAGTTAATTTCAATATCACAAAATATCAAGTCATTTATACATAGTCTTACTACTATAAACAATTAACCTTTTTTTATCTTCAAAGATTGACTAGTTTATGCAAGATGGATACCTCTGACTAGACAATCAACCGAAACCAGTGTTATTCTGATCTGTATGCAGCACACCTTGCACCTGCCAATCACTGAAATAATTTTTGTTAAAAAAAAAAGATAAGGAACATGTCTGGTAGAGAAGTATGTTAATACAATAAAAACAAACAATCATTGCTCAAGTAGAAAAATAATCAAAACAGATATAGAAAGGCAGAAGAACATATATATTATTCATACTTTCAACATTAACAAAATGTTTTGAAACAGGAAAAAAAATATAATGCATTAAACGATAAAAGGAAAAAAAAAAACTAAGTCTAATCATCGCCCATATCAAACAAGTCCCTTGGCTTAGTCATAACAACATGTAACCACCATTTATTTATCTCATCCTCGATATAAAAAACTTGTTTTGCTTGAGATGAGAAAATAAATGGATCATCGTGCAAATTTCGACCAGTGTGCATCAGCTTCGATAAATTCACACAAACATTCCCATTACGATATCTTTTCAAACCCCTTGTCATATCAACCCAATCACAACAAATCATTATAACCTTGTGGGAGCCATAATAATCTAATTCAAAAATTGCTTTGAGTCTTCCATAATACTCTTGGCCTTCTGCCTCTAACATAATGTCAGAATTTTGTATCTTTCGATATCGCTCACGATCCAAAATGTCAAATTTATAACCATTGATGATAACACTTTTTATCCTTTAACATTGATTACTTAAACCACCGACAAAGGCTTTTCTCAACGTTCTTTTTGGTGTACTATCATCTATGTTGTGGATCTATGTAAATAAAATAAAAAATGCTTACGTTAGACCTGTGTTTGACATTCTATGTTTAGAAAAGTACAAAATAAAATAACTTTGATAGATTGTAACCTGATTTTGTAACCACTCGGAAAATTCATTGATTATCCACTCATTTTCAATGGTTTCGTTCAATTGGAATTGATTCTCTTGCTTTTTTGGGCATATGAAATCACTTTAGATAGAAAAAAGTTATGTTAACCATAAAAATAATAGTAAGTAATCACTTAGTTATTAACTTATATATTGCACTACTAACTCAAGAATTGATTTCATCTCATCTGAATGAAGCAAAACATAGCGATGAGCTTGTTTTAGACTTTTTTCATCAAGACGAAAATTTTCTTGCTTTCCAACTACACGGCAGCCCGAATTATATAAATAGATGTTGTTTACAACACCATCTTCATTTCTTTTCGGTCAATTTTAAATATGGTCTCAACACTTTCTAAATATCTGGAGCAAAAAGTAATTATCTCCCATAAAAGAAACCCTTCCACAATAGACCCTTCAGGTTGAGCCTTATTGCTTACATGAGATTTAAAAAATGTCAAGTACCTTGTAATATAATTAAGAAAGAATGTGAATATGAAAATATATGTATATGAGTATTATAATATAATATTATTTACTTTGGGAAAGTTTGACATAAATTAAAGTTAATATCTTAACCTTTCAACCGGATACATCCATCTGTAATGAACTGGTCCTCCAAGTCTGACCTCATCCACTAAATGAATCAATACATGAACCATGATTGTGAAAAATGTTGGTAGAAACTCTTGTTCCATCTTACAAGGAGTTAAAACAAGCTTGGATTGAATGTCATCTAACTCTTTGGTATCAATAGAAGTTGAACATATCTTCTTAAAAAAGCAAGACAACTCCTCAATCAAGTCAATAACTTTTGTAGCATTTGATGCTCTTAAAGCAACTAGAAGGATGTCTTGCATGAGGATATGATTGTCATGGCTTTTCATATTGATAAGTTTACGATGTTTCATGTTCACACATCTTTGCAGTTAGATCCATATCCATCTGGAACTCTAAGCTTTTGTAAGACATTTAAAAACTGCTCTTTTTCTTCTGTAGACATGGTATATGACGCGGGAGGCATATAATTTCCTCGACTTGAATCAATCCAAAGATGAGATTTTGCGTTCAACTTTTTAAGGGCCTCTCTTGCACTCTCATCATCTCTAGTCTTGTCCATATCTAAAAGAGTTCCTAACAAATTGTTACAAACGTTCTTTTCAATGTGCATAACATCTAAATTATGTCTTAGAAGATTGTGTTCCCAATATTCCAAGTAAAAAAACGTACTTTTTTTTTTCCAAAGAAGATTATTAGAATCTTTCTCATCATGGTCATCATCAAATTCATTAGTGGATGTCCCACTTTTCTTTCTCTCTCTTTTCTTGGAGGGTTTTTTTTACTTTCCATAGACATATTTAATCCTTTCTTGTTTCTTCAAAATGTCTTTCCCACTTATAGGAACTGGAGCAACATCGTATTCCACTGTCCTGTCAAATAAATGGGCTTGGGAACGATAAGTATGATCAAGTGGCAACCATTTTCGATGTCCAGGGTAGCAAATTTTACCACCAAAATTATATGAGTCAGTGGAATGGGCACACGAAGGACAAGCTTTATAGCCTCTGGTACTCCAACCAGATAACATAGCGTATGCAGGAAAGTCATTTATAGGAGAGTGTAAGGCTGCTCGCATTTTAAAGTTTTCCCCACTATATGCATCAAAGGTATCAACACCATTCCACAACAACTTTAACTCATGGATTAATGGTTGCAAATACACATCAATATCAATATCAGGACTATATTTACCAGGAACAATCAAGGACAAAATAAATGATGTTGGCTTCATACAATTCCATGGTGGTAAATTATAAGGAATTAAAACCACGGGCCAAATACTATAATTAGTATTCATAAGAAGATATGGATTGAAACCATCACTTGCTAGACCTAACCTAACACTACGAGGATCAGCAACAAATTCTTGATATATTTCATCAAAAAATTTCCAAGCTTCACCATCTGCTGGGTGCCTTAAAACCTTATTGTCCTTTCGACCAAAATGCCAACTCATATCCTTTGTTGTTTTAGATGACATATAAAATCTTTTTAATCTAGGGATAAGAGGAAAATATCGCAATACTTTAGCTGACTCACCCTTTTTACACGATTCTTTACCTCTCTCACTTGTATGGCCTTCCTTCCCTTTTACAGTTTTCCACCTTGATGTATGACAAACATGACACTCACTTTTTTCAGCGAATTTGCCCCAATATAACATGCAATAATTTTGACATGCATCAATTTTCTCATACCCTAATCTCAAGTCCTTAATTATCTTCATGCCCTCATAGTAAGACGATGGAAACTCGTTGATTTGAGGAAATGCATCAACTAAAAGTTCAAGCAATTTAGTGAATGATTCAGCAGACCAATGGAACATACTCTTTAGGTGAAACAAGTGCAAAAGAAATGATAACTTTGAAAAAGTGGTACACCCCTCATATAAACCCTCATAAGAAGCTTCCATTAGTCTTTTATACTTGAGATCCTCTTCACTAGAGTAAGTAGATGGATTTACATTATCTACATCACAACGAAAATCAAAATCTTTGTGCATATCATATGAACTACCCCCTTCATGCATATCATATGAAGTCTCCTCTTCGTGCATGTTATGGGATTCAAAAAGAGAGCGTGGAATATCAACATTAAATGCTTCTCTTAATAAACCACCCATATCATCTCGCCCTACTACCTTTTCATTAATATGGGTTTCTAAGGTATTGTTCCCTTCATCAAAACCACAATGAAAAACCGAATTTCGATACTTCTTAAAAAAGCCATTACAAAAAATATGTCCTTTTACTTCTTCTACGGATAACCATTTATTTACTTTGCATTTATTACACGGGCATTTAGTTTTCCCATCTATAAGAGTCTTCTTAGTAAGTTTAATAAATTCCATACAGCCTTTAAAATATGCAAGTTCAATTCCCCAGTGCACAAATCAATCCAACTGGTATCCATTTCTACAAAAAATCAAATAACTTATTCTTTTTATATTTTAAACTAAAAATGACTCAAATCAATACAAGAGAAATATAAATTAATATTCATGTTCAACATCCCACCTAAAGCATGATATTTTTTGGTCATAAGCCATATAAGAGTACGTAGTGCATACGTCTTAAAGAATTGCTACAACATACTCACATTATTATTATTTTTTATTAAAAAAATGACTTATAAATGAATATAGAAGCAATATAAATAAATTTTAAAGTTTAACAACCAGCTTAAAACATGATATTCATTTAGTCATAAGCCATATACGAGTAATGCACATGTCTTCAACTATTGCTATAACATACTCACATTATTATATGTATATCATTCTGTGCACAATATGGAAAAACGAATGAATTTAAATGGAATACCAAGAAATCACTAAGAATTTTTTATAAACTAAGCATCAATGACGGTAATCAAAGGACAAAGTTTAATAACCTTTTAACTTGTGATATTATGATTAGTTAAGTAAACGATGGCTCATTTACCCACACAAAAAAAATACAAATGCAAAAACAACAAAGAATAAACATGATAATTATAAAATCATGAGAAGACATATGAATTCAAAATATCCTATTATGCGTCCATAGACACATACATTGAATTATAAGTCTTAAAGGTTATTAGTAGTTACCTGAATCAGCTGGAAGAGTACAAACGTGATTCAAGCCTGATCCAACTTGTTAATGAGATGATCTTGTTTGTTGTTGTCCCCTTCAATTTGTGCCCAACAGCCGATTTCACTTAGTTTAACATTTGAAGAGATAGAGAACAAAATAAATTAATTTACTCGAATATTGAATTATGTAAAAAACAAATATTAAGAAGCGAAGGGGATGTTTTGGTTTATATATCAAAATAGCAAAGTTAAAATAATGACATAGCTCATGCATTATTATACACCTTCTCAAAGTTGTCCATGAATTACTCTGATTTAGGCATATATTATAAGAAACATAATATTGGGCATAATTGAGTTGACCAATGGACCTAGCTAATCTAAACTATAGAAAGTAATGAGATTTTTACTTATTAGGCAAGCACAAAACACTACTAAATCTATAATTATATTGCAATCAACTAGTAATTGACTATTGGTTAAGAAATCCAAACATGACAAACATGTAATTGAACAGTAATTTCCAATAATGTAATGATACATGCAAACTGATCAGTTTTAATTTACAGGCCAGGGGAGTTAAGCGAAAAAAATTTGGATATTCAACATGGGAACAACTTCAAATCTGTAATTCCAAAAGTAATAATTTTCAATGTCATGAATTCGTAAATTTTCATTTCATTATGTTAGGGAACGAAATTAAGAAATAAGAACCTGAAAATTTCAATGGAAAGGAATAAATTTGAATCTTTAACTAATTTGTAAGTGTAATTTGTAATTGTATCATGATCCAAACTCATATTTTACTGTAAATTTCATAATTCATACGAATCATAATTAAAACTCTAAAAACAATGTACACGATATCTTTAAAAAAAAAATCATACCTTCAATAGATCGACAATCGGAATCACCCGCAATCTTGGATGAGTGATTCTTATTTATTGAGAACGAAGTGAAAAATAAAATCATCAAAAGAGGAATTGTGTTAGGGTTCAAAAGCTACAAAGTGGAGAAGGTAACTGATGAGTGTAGCATTATAGGAGTCCAGTGCGGTGCGTTTATTGATTTGTTTTATTTATTTATTTATTTATTTTAATTTTTCAACTTTCAATTGAGCGCGTTTTATTTTCTGGCTAAAATTTCAATCGCGGGCTTCATATTGGTGGGCTTCTTTATCACATGGGGGGCACGTGATAATCTCGACGCTTTAAATCGTCGGTCCATGTTTATGACACTTAAAAGCGTCGAGGTGAGGCGGGATTGATATTTTCATATTGACGGTCTTCCATAGTGTAGAGGCTATAGTGTCGAAATTACATGGGTTTTGTAGTAGTGAACAACAATATTCTCAACATATATTTTAGTAGACTTCCTTATGATGCTTTGCTTGGGTTTCACTCCAAACGGCTCACAATGATTTGGTTTACCCTAATCACTTGTGATCATGGAAATTTTCCTTAAATTCCTGCACATTACACATGGATGCACATCCATGTTACCAATCTAAAGCCACGACTTATTGTTAGCTCGTGCTTATAAACGACTTCCTTGTTAAGGTTTGTGCTTGCAACATCAATTCTCAAATTGTATTTGTTTCCATAAGTCAAGAACTCATCCTGTTAGTTATCCAAGTACTTTAGATGTTCTTGGCCACAATCTTACGATCTATTACATAGATTCAGGTTGATTGGTACAACATACATGCTTCACATGCTCTAAGCAAGTAAGTCGTGTGACGATACCATATCATAGCTTTACATGATAGATTTAATTGTAGAATGATTCTAAATCTTTATCCCATCAATTTGACATTTTAGCTCATTAAGTTTCACTGAGTCTTTGCTTAATTGTTCGCTATGTGATATGGTTGAAAGTCTCTTACTAGAGTCTTTCTTGTTTGACTTAGTATTTTTTATCTAAGCTTATACTTAGTTCAAACATTTACTTAGTTTTTTTACATATGGGTCGAAAGCCTTTCAAAGTCCTTCATGTTAATATGGTAAATTCCTTTACTCATTTAAACATTTAATTAAGACTATACCATAGAACTTAATTCCCAATATGTATACTAGGTATCGCCTTTAGTTTGGTCCATTGTCAAAATACTTTCAAATCTAAACATTTAGCATTTGATAGTTGTTTCACAATAGAGTTCGTAAACTTCTCGTTGGACATTTACTTTTGCTCCCACTAAACTTCTTATTCATCAGAATTTCTATGTTTCTTCATAAGCCATTCCTCTTATTAAATTTATCAGAAAACACGTTCCAATTCCTATATGCAATGCTTCCTTTAATCCCATGATGGATTCCTTGAGCTTGCTTTCAAATCTAGCATTATTTAGATTTCCAAAACCCTTAGACTATTCCATAGTCACTTCCAAAATCCTATTTTGGGAAAGCGGTTTTGGTATCTATTTTGTCAAATTTCATATGTGCAATTTTTCTAGATCAATCACGAAAAGACTTAAGCATTTCAATTAGTGAATAGGTTTTTTTTATTAAAATCAACTCCGTGAATTTAATTGTATCCTTTACATCCAATCTAGCTATGTATGCATATATATTTCCACATTTGTTAGTATAGACACCCATTTGTGTCTCCCCAAAACCAAAACCAATGATGAATACCTTTCATGTCATTTGATTATCAAACAAAGAGAAATGTCTAAAATTCTAGTGATGAGGATCTTTTTATTAAAATATCACTTCTTTCTGTTTTTGAAAATATTTCTTTTCTTACCTTATTTATGAAAAACGTGCATTCCATTTTAGTTTGGTCTATGATAAGGGTCCAATAATGGTATAGTTGGATAGGGCTTGAAAAGATCTTTCGAGCGATATATTATAAGCCTAATTTCGATGAATAATGAGGAAGTTATGGCCAAAATACTAAACTGGGTACGGTTTGATTTTTATATGCGGCCCAAGGATCTAGAGGAGGGCCTATTATTAATTATCATTCCTAAAGATATTAGGATTGATTATAGTATTTGAGAATACTCTAGAAGGACCTTTTAAGTCCAAATGGAGTTAGGATTGATAATTATGTTTCAAAGAGTTTGAAATTGAATAAAACTACTCATTTTTAGAATCCTTGTTTTGTACGAAGTGGAATATATTAAGATTTTATTTTCGTGCCTTATAATCTTTATCCAAATTTTATATGGATGGATATATCTTGAAATTATCTTTCCAATGATATTTTATAAATATTAAATCCGACCTATAACGAAAAAGATATGAATGAGATATGAAACTTTATCCAAAACTGACACCCTTCCACTATTTCGGCCATATATTTTTATCTAAAAAATATTTTAATCTGATTCTAATTGGATTAGAAATTAGACTTCAACATCTTTCCAACGACATATTATATGCCTTATTTGGACTTCTGGATCAAAAGATATGATAAAAACAAAAAAATACGTGAAACTGATTATTAGCGCCTGACGACAAGCATTAGCGCATGGCGCTAAGGCTTGGCGCCTAGCGCTAACATTCAGCCCCTGGCGTTAATGACCAGCGTCTGGCGCTAATCGTGTTTTATTCTCGTTGAAACTCTGATTCGTTTTTTTCTCCATCCGACTGATTTTCTCTATAAATAGCCTCTTAAAATTTTTTGTTTTCAATCATTAATTTTCAACAATAATTAATTTCCACCAACTCTCATCAAGAATTTCTTGATTCTCTCTCCCTTTTTAAACAACCCTTTTACAAACACAATTCCTCATATAAGATCTAGACACACCTAGCCAAATTTGAAGTTTCCTTCGCCCTAGACGTGAAAGGTTTTAATTTCTGAGGGTTTGATCCCAAATCTCTATTTCAATTATTTAATTTAATTGTTTGTTTTGTATTTTCCTTGAAGTTACTAACGCGTGTATTTTGTTATTAGAAAGAGATACGAGGCATTAAAGTAAGTGCTTTAATTGATTTTAATTGATATTATGATATAGAAATCATGTCTAGGTTGTTATTATGATTCCTAGTATCATGTTAGGATGCTTAATGTTTTGAATGAAAACAATGATTCTTAGT